CCTTCGAAGCATTTCTCAAGAAAGATTGGATTTGATATTTGCTCATTTTGACAGCGAGTTCGACACATTAGAAAGCGAAGTGGAACTGTCATCAGAAAACAAAAGAATTGCGCTGTTGTGTGATTTCAATTCAAAAACAATGGATGTTTTAACTATGATTTATATGACAACGAAAAATACTTTTTTAGAAAACTGCTTGGGCCACTCCGCCCTGTGGGTTAGTAAGGCACTTGAGAATTTTTTGGTTGATAATGTAAAGAAACTTCTAACAAGACTTCGACACTATTTCAAAATATATTTCACTTTTATGGATGATCATCATTTTGCTCATGTTTTGGATATTCTGTATCGTAGGTTTCATACATTCTTCTTGTCTTCGGAAAAATTACCAATATTTAAGCATAATTCAGAATTCGTGATTGATATTTGTCGAGATCGCTGCAATCATCATTTTAACAACATGGTACTCACTTTTGATACTCTGCTCGTTAAGTATGACGAGAGACTCAAGCGTGAGATGCGTTTAATGGATGCCTTTATTTGGTTCGAAGACAGCTATCTGAAGATTTATAGAGGTGTCCAGTCTTTTTTAAAGCATTACATCAAGCCGGAGTTCAAGTACAGCAAGGATATCCAGTTCAAAGAAATTTTTCACCCAACTTTAATTAAAGAAGTCTTCGTAAAGTTTATGGAGCATTATTTACACGTTATTCCTCAAAAATATCATTATTCTCCCGCTTTTATTATATCACTTTCAAAATACACTCTACAGATGTCTGAATCTAGGCAAATATCAGAAGCATCTTTATCTGTACAGTTTAAATGCTTAGCAAAAGAATTGTTGAATAATTACGTGGAAACTAGAGTGAGTGTGATGACTCAAATGCTCAAGAATAGCATTGCTAATAAGTCATGGACTGACACGAAAATGCCCAAGAGGGTCAGCCCAGTTATTCGTAGAATTTTGGATGAATTTGCTATTATACTTCGTGAAGTACAAACTTTTTTTTATGATTCTAACAACAAGTTGCCTGAGTCGCTTAATGCCTCAGACCCGAAATCTCTACTCTCGGTGCAGCACTACACAAATCCAAATTTAGATTCCAATGTTGTGATTACCCAGATGTTGTTTCGTGAATCGCCTGTTTACTCAAAAGAAGTTGAATTCAGGAACGATTCCATCCTGTCCTGCATCATGAAGAGGATGCTGAAGTCGTTGCTGGAACTCGTACGACAGAAAACATTCAACCGATTCGGCATGCAGCAAATCCAAGTCGATGTGTGCTGCCTACAAGCGTGCATTATGGAGAAGGATTTTATCTCGCTCTATGATGACATAATATCCAGTTACTGCAGTAGGTGCTTCGACCCAGAACTCATGAATCCTCATGTTGTTTCTGCTATCTTACAGGAAATTTAACACTTCTTGACATTTTCGGTCATGAGCAGTACTTACAAATTATATAAAACGTCATTCCTCTGATCACCGTTGAACGAATACGGAAACAAATGGGTTCACCGATGGAAATATTTTCAGATTGTTCTTTCTATATTTTGCTTTTAAGTCAAATAAACGCTTGAGTGTACAGTGTGCAAAATAAAAAAACGATATCACCCGAAATAACTTTCGTTCTAATGATAGGATTTTCCCAAAATTATCTTAATATTTTCTGAACGTGACTTCAGCAAATATGCTAATTAATTAGTGCTAACTACTAATTAAATTGCAAAATCAGACACAAAAAACACACTTTCTCTGTCCCCTTGACGTCAGGCTAACCGTGGGAGGTTCTCGTGGTCTTCCTCTCCATGTAACGCAAATGCGGGTTGGCTCCATCAAAAAGTCCTCCACGAAGGCAAATTTTTCCCACTACTCGATCCAGGAGTTCCCTTGTCTTCTGAATTGGGTTCAAAATTACAATTCTACGGAGTTAAACATTAGTAGTCTTAAATCCATAAAATGGGTCGGCTGATCAATGACGGTTAGAAAATAAGACAAAACGATCAACTGAGACGTGATGGCTCAGGGAATAGAGCGTTCGCCTTTCAATGAGGTGAACCGGGTTCAAAATCCAGGGATGGCTGGTCGATATGAAATCCGTATCCTGCTTGCACCTACTACAGTGCTGAAGTAAGATATCATCAGTGGTAGACGGATCATGGGTTAGAGTCCCCTTGCCTTCAGGATAACCGTGGGAGGTTCTCGTTGTCTTCCTCTCCATGTAACGCAAATGTGGTTTAATTTCATCATAAAATCCTCCATGGAGGTAAATTTCTCCCAAAACTTGATCCAGGAGTTCCCTTGTCTTCTGTATTGGGTTAAAATTACAAGCCTACGGAGTTGAACATTAGAAGTCGTAATGTCAAAAAATTGGGTCGGCTGTTCAACGACGGTTATAAATATATCATCTGGCGCTGACGTCATTGGTAACGTATGGGTATGTGTGATCTTCTTAAAGTGCAAGTACCCAATTATAAAATAACGTTTCTTTTCGAAGATACATTTATCTTAAAGATATCTTTATAGCGTCTTAAACCAAACTTTTGTGACATCAACAACGATTATTTGAAATATTTTTGATGTTTCAAAAGTCACCACAAAAAATTTAAAGAACTGTCGCATACGTAACCAAAATTTTTAAGCGTCTTAAAATATCTCAGTATCTTATATATCTTAACATCCTCATAGCACTTCAGTTTTAAATTAAAATTTTTAACTGCCTGGTCACGTGCGGTTCGCATAACTATTCAACCAATTACTTCATTATATTTTTATATTTTTCAAATTCCTTTTTTATGCTACCACGTAGATTTTTTCTCTCGATAATATACTAATCTATTTTGTGTCTAATTTCTATTTGTAATTAAAGTTTTCTTTAAACTAGAACTCGTTCTAAATTATTGCCAATTTTTTTTCGAGTATCAGAACTAAAGCCAGTTAGCTGATAAGAATTAAAGAACATTTTCTACATTAAAATTACTCTGTGAAAAACGTCTAATTGATCGTTTTAAATAAGTGCACCCTTTTTCTCTAAGAATGAACAAACAAATTATTTATTCACTTTATTTTTTTTCTAATTTGCTTGAATTGGGGAAAATAAATACATATTAGTGCAACTTCAAAAACAACAACTGTTTGCTTTGCTTTTTAAATGAACAAATACGAACCGCTATTTTGACGTTTAATTATATTACTTATTATAGCTTATATTAAACTTATATTAGCCTTATATTACACAGTTAACTTTAAAAAAGCTGCTCTTTTAAAAAAAGATATTGAAAAAATTTACTTCTGTTAAAATTATTTTCCAATTTCAGCACAATTCACAAGATATTATTCTAATATAATTTTTTATCAGGAAAACGCCTTATTTTGTTAAAGAGCAAATCCTAAAAATTTAAGTTTGTGAAAAGATTCCAAACCCATACTATTTTTAGAATCATCATCTGATTAGAAATATATGTAATAAGAAAAGCGAAATTTGTAAACCTATTTTGATAAAAAAAAAATACAGTTAACATACCTTTTTACAGAAACTATAGATACAAGTTTTTCCTATTTTTGTCGTAAGAGGATAAGAATGATATTGCTCCAAGGAACCTTCTATCCTTTGAAATAACTGTCCTTTGATTCTTGGTGCTAGGGGACATTCAATTTTCTCAATCGACTTTTGAAATTTCAACTGTATACGGAATTTTTTTGACGTCCATAAAAAGAAACTTTTAAGGCTAGCAGTAAAAAAATGGTACTATATTGATTTTTTTAGGAAGTAATGACTAATTATTATTTTTTCAATTTAAGAGCCTATACCATTAACTCTACTAAAACTTATTTTAATATCGCGTGAAGTAATTTAATATACTGTGTTACTAAATGAATGATCCCAAGAAACTAAGTCAAGAAGATAAGAACTTCACTGACCTTAAAAAATTATGAAAATGACAATAAAAGATTACGTATTTTGAGCATTCAAACGTAAGACAAGTTTGTAAATTAAGGAGGAAAAGCAAAGAAATCCTAGTAGCGATTTTTGGTGGTAAATGTATTTTTGGTAATCGTAATTGAAGAATATGTTGTGGATCAATTTATGCTGAATTTACGAAAATAAGTTTTAGAATGTATTGAACCATCAGGATACTATTTACAAGTCATCTTTATACAAAGAAAACCATGTAACCTAAATAATTAGCAGAATGAAGCAAATTTTTAACTAATGAATTCTACAATATACAATATATTATTACAACATGTTATTCCTAAACATCATATTTCGATGTTTTTAAAATGCCACTTAACTCTTACCAATTTCCATAGTTATAGAAAATATCGTAAGTTGTATAAAACCTCGTGATTGTGCATTAGAATTACCATGCCCTCTACATTTTGTTTAGGAACTTTTTATTGTTGTTTCGTTTAACTCGTATTAACTAAAGACTCGATCAACGCTGTAAAAATGATTATTCCTGAAATTTTGTAGGTAGTTATAATAAGTTATGTATTTTAGTATGAAATCTTTATGTATATGATGTAAAAACAACGTAAATACATAAATAATGTCAGATAAAAAGTTCATGTGTTCGAATTCTAAAAGCTTGGAAAATCATAAATGATTTATAAATCGTTTCAAATTTTCTTTCCAAAGGAGATTAAGAAAAACAATCTTTGTTTTTGAGTCAGAAATTAGCTAAAACATGTCTATTAACAGAAACTCTTCGATGTATTTTTCTATTAACTATTAATAAATAAACGTCTCTGGAATTAAAAATGTTTCTTCTAGAGCTGATGCAGGAGATTGGGAGAAAGGTTTTAGTTTCAGTCAGACGAGTTTGTTTTTTATGCTATGACAGTTTCAAGCTATTATGTCTGTTGATATGCTATACATTGTGAATAGGATGAGTAACTGGAGATAAAATTTATAGAAGAACATGGAAATAAATCCTTACAACTTTGAAGGAAGAAAGTCTGAAAGCAAAAAGAAATATTTAAGCACGAGACTTACTGTCCAACAGAAGATAGAAACAGCCTTGTGTTTCTGGTGTGGGTAGAGATTCTACTGGGTTGGGAGGCCCCCATCATGCTTGAACTCTGATTGCCTGTCATCCATCTTTTCAGGACTTTCAGGGATATTTCGTTGCAAAGTAATCGCAGCATTTAGTCGGCGTTTTCTTTGGGGTGAACAATCGTTATTGTTACTAGTTGAAGAGTTGTCAGACGACGGGTTTGGAAGTTCGGTTCCGTTCGTTAATTCGGCGAAGGATAACTGGGTGGAGGTTTTGATCTTCTTATTAGTAATCTGTTCTGTTGAACTTGCCCTTGTTTAACCTGGGTTATCATTTTGATTAGAGAGGCTGTTAATTATTGAAAGAAAGATTGAAATTATTTTATAATCACAAATTTGCCTGATGAAAATCAGATCCAGCGATTTGTGCATGTGTTTTTTGTTAGTCTTGGAATGATGAAGGTGCTTGGCCTCTATTGTTGTAATGTGGTTTTCAGCTTTTAGTTTGCGAATTTTTACTTTTTTGATAAATACAAAAATTGGGCATATGTGCTGGGATGAGCTTTATAACACCTAGTGCGGCATTATATTTTAAAGGGTTATTTTGGAAGGTTCTGTGTATGGTTAGTTGCCCACATCGGGTACATACTTTGTCCCGTAAACAAGTTCGAGTTGGATTGTCAGTGACCATTACTGTAGATGATCTGATTACTGTGATGTAATCTGATTACAACTGTTTTAGTTAAACTTAATTATTTCAAGAACTTATAGTTTGGTATCGAACGTTTTTTCTGTTGCTAAAGAATCTAAAGCTATTTCTAACTCTATTCCTCTAACTAGAAATTTGGTGAAAATCTGTTTAAGATTTTTACTTTCACTGGTATGCCTAGAATTTCGGTCAACGAAGTTGCTTAAATAGAAGTGTTCAGTAATATTCATGCCAAAACTAAGCTGATTATGACGTCTGAATTTTAAATTATCAATTGATTCTTTAAGTTTTAAATCCAATTGTTGGCTCAATAAAAATAGCACAATTTTGAACCAAATTTAATTTTTCTTCAATTAGTATTTCCGTTCAACTCATCATCCGGTGTTGGTCATTAGAAAAGCCATGCTTAAGTTTTTGTGTCCTTATGGTTCAGTTTCAATATAATAATAAATCATTTTTACTTGCAGCAAATCCAAGATATCTACTTACGTTAGCAAAGTTGAAAACGACTTACTCCTTAGGTATGAAATTCAATAAAGAAGATAGTAAATTCAATGCAGAAAAGAAACACGACGAAATACTTTTTCATTCTAACAAAATCAAAAATTATTAATCAATAAAAAGGTTAGTTCAGATTTCCAAGCTAGAAATCCTTCAGACCGAAGTTGATTTTAGATGTTGCAGCAGCTTTCATTTCCTGTTTATTTTTGTTAGCTGTTATTGTTATCGGATATAAATAAAAGTGACTGAGCTTGCTAAATTTTAAAGGAATGAGAACGCTTCTGGTGTTTCGTTTCAGCTACGTTAGAAGCCCACTTGAAACTTTCTGTTGGAACCACCGTGGGTAGGTGGTCACTCTACTTCCACCAATCCATTCTCACAACCTTCAACTATTTCTTTTTTTCAGAATCGTATGCGAATGAGAACCAGATTGGTAAAAAATCGCCAATCAAGCGATTTTTTCGCATTTGAAAAAAAAACCCGTATCTGTGGTCATTCGATTCAAATCAGGACAAATTTAGTTGGTTTATATCTTGTTTACACTAGTAGTTTTAAGCTTTCTTCGAAAAACTGGGTAATACCTTCGCTATATTGGTAAAGAATATTTCTTCGTCAATAGCGATAAATAATTCCACTTAGTTGTTTTTTTTTAACTACTCATACTTACTAACGTAATATTAAAAATATAACGTTTCCTTTTTTACAAATATAATACATTTTAAAATTTCCGATACTTCTTATTTATTAAATTTTATTAACTTTTTATTCAATTTTATTTAATATTAAAATACAAATTTTTTTTCAGTAGTTAGGGAAGTTTTTTTCAAAAATGTTTTGTACATTTTCCTTATAAAAGATTTTGGAAATTATTAGTGTGTGAAATGCGGCTATAATTAATAAGCACTTGTCATTGTTTTTAATAAATTGATGTGTGCGTCATTGCCAGGTTTTCATTTGCCCGGTATTCCCTGCTTTAATAAGGTTTAGTACCCCTGCCCGATATAAATTTGTATGGTATACTCTGCACTTATGTTTAACTAAGGTTAAGGGACACTGCCCGAAAAAAAAGTTAAGAGTCACTGGCCGGCATTTATTTTCCCAGCATACACTACAAACCGGTAGCAGAAACCCCCCACCATAGCAGCGGGTATTGCAAATCATCAGAGCAACAGTAGATTATTTTTCATCTCTTATTTAAAGAAAATTGTCGCAATACCTGAAAATTACTCTTCATCTCAGATTTAGAAAACATACCTAAAGGTTTACCGAGAGGAGAAAAAAAAAGTTACTTTTAATTACCTAAATAATTCAATTACTAATTGTTTCAGGTCTTTATCAAAGTTTGTTTTACATTTCTAATTTGCAGATATGTAAGTAAAAAAAAGCTCCTTTTCAAAAATTCTGAATAATGTTCTTCACTTAATTTAAAATTTTGAAAAATAAAGAATTTAAAAGATTAGGCAATTTTTTTTTTTAAAAAAAAGAGATTTTTAATTTCTTAAAACTCTAATTGCTTGTTCAGAGACTATAAAAGAATTTATTCCATTTTTTAAATTCCAGTTATTTCATTAATTTAAAAGTGTATAATTTTTACTTTAATTTAAACAACAACTTTTTAAAAATTTTCGTGATTAATATTTATCTACCTTATACGTGTTAATTGCGGGCCAGATACGTTAGATTAAGTTTAATTTTTACAATATCTGTCTTTGACTGTATTAGGGGTAACAAATAAATTTGAATTTATGAAGATATTGCTGCTTATTGACTTTGTAAATTCTGCTACTGGACATAGGATGGTAAATACGAAAACCTATTTCCAGATTGCACAACGTCCCACAGTCGGCTGATCATAAAGACACGATTCCTAGTAGAACACCGAAGTCAAGCATCACTGGCTGCGGTCAGTAAGCGGGTGGGTGACCACTTTGATCAACCTGCATAGGGACCGAGGATGTGCAGTATCGGTCCTCGTTAAACTGTTCTACCGTGCTAAATCATTGTACTAAAGAATAAACTTTCCCCTTCCATAACGTGAGGTGCTGATTTGTTTACTTTTTAGCTGAACTTTACATTTTATTAATAAAAATCACAAATTAAAGATGTTGCCCACTTTTTATATTTAATATTCACTAATTTTTTAGTAGGAAGTTTCCTTTTTAAAATAACCTTTCATAGTTTTACATGTTTTAAAAAAAACTTAATCTTATCTAAATTTTTTTTAAAATTTTCCTTTTGCAAGCTTTGGGATGAAAGCTTTTGCAAGCTTTTTCTCGAATTTACAAAATTACACTGTACTTTAAATTTCAGATAAGTTAAAGCTTGAGAATTATTTCAATATGTGGGAGACACTCTCGGTTAAGTGGTTAAAAACATAATGCAATCAATTTTATGTTTTCGTTTTATATTTAATTTATTTTCTAGATATACGCTAGCATAATTTATTTTGGAATACCGTCCTGTAAAACTAAGTGAGCATTTTTTACTGCTAGGGAATAAATTTATACCATAGTTACGGCAAAGCTTTTATCCCGATTTTAGCAATTCTGATTATATATTTTATGTTAATATAAATTGACTCTTCGGAACAGAGCAGAACTTTTATATTACAGCTGTATTGTATATAATGCGTATTATTTTTACTGTATATTGTTTATGGAACATGTATTAATTTACAAAAATGGGTTTCATATAATGGGTGTCACGTAATAAAAACTTAGTTACTTGAATATGTTTCGAATTTTTGCTTAATTTTCATCCCTCAATATTTTAAGTGTACAGGGCACCACAAAAAAACAGACCACTCTGAATAACTTTTGCTCCAATGATCGGATCTTCACGTTCTAGGACTTTAGTTCGAGTGGGTGACCTTAAATATGCTAATTAGTGCAGACGATATTTTAAGTTACGAAATCAGACACAAGAACACACTTTCTCTGAATAAACAAAGCCTTTTTTCAACGGATTTGGATTTCCGAGAAATCTGGGAAATATCGAAATATTGATGATCCCCATAGTTTAGTAAGGAGAGCTATCCAAAGTTTGGACTAATCCTGCCTTAAGCAAATATGCACCCCCTCAAATCATTAAGATTGAGTCCTAGAATGTGATGAATCGATCATTAGATCAAAACTTATTAAGAGTGATCTGTTTTTTTTCTCATTGTACACAAGTCTTTAAATGGTATAAAATGTTGGTTAGTCCTTTTAAAGGCACTTTACATAAAAACTTACATTACTTTGTTTTTCTTAAAATTGAAGCTTTAATTTTGTTTCATTTGAATAGACGAACACACTTTAAATAGATTAATCCAGTATAAATGTGTAATTTATATGGTCACATTTCTTTAGTATACACGTAATTTGTATGATTATGTTAAAAAAAATTTTTTTTTAACTATCTTCCAGTCTTGATAGACGCTAAAAATGGGCTTGTCATTTGGGAGATTCGAAGTATGGGTTATCAGTTTGGAAGTGCATGATAATTGCAATAGATTCCGAAATGATAAACAGAAACTATTTTCAAACAAATATTATAATTTATAAAACTTTTCTGTTTTAAATACATTAAAAATGTGTGTGTTTCATTTACTTTTGACAAGCAAAACATAGATGACACAATTTAAAGTTCAAGCTTAGCTGTGAATTACGTTTACAAAGCTGCAACTTCAGTAGGACGTACTGGTTTGTTAGTTGACAGAGCAACTCTTAGCAATGCCAAAGATCTTGGCGACCATATTTTATGCCTTCTTGAGGATGATCGGAAGATATGCCATAAAAAAAATTTATTCTCTGCAAAGGAATGGTCCCTTCCCTTTCATAGCCCGATGGCCTACGCTGATCAACACCTCCTAGAAAGAACAGACCTCAGCACGGGTTACCATAAATATCCCTTAGTAGTCCAAACGTAATGACATATTTTGTATTTTCAACCACTGCGCAGCTTGGTACCCCGACCGTAATGACATCTTTCTTATTTTTCGTCTACTGCGCAGTTAACTTCGTCACATCGGACTACTAAATTGATTCGTGCTGAGGCCTTTCTACTTCTAGGAGGTGTTGCGCTGATACCCTCAGTCCATTCGCAGGCTGATCAACGTAGTCACTAACCTGCTCACTGACTGCTGCCAGTAAAGTTTGACTACTGTGCTCTCTTGGGAACCGTGTCTTTACCATCACTCCACTGTGATTATTAGTTTATCATTAATGATTCGAGTTATTAACAATTTGTGACTCAATGATTTGGGAACTACTACACTAATAAAGTTGTTGATACTAATAAGAACAAATGTATAATGCAAACTCATTCGAAAATTCCGAATTCACAAATTCAAGTGTTGATTTTTAAATATTATCCAATGCTTATGCTTTACGAGTATTTTAAATAAAGAATATTCAAATAATGTTGATATTATATCTATAATATCTATTATATCTATAATATCTTAAAACTAAATTTGCTTTGCAACCTGTATAAGAAAATTAGGAGCTAACTATTCGTAATACGGTTTTCAATATTTTTCTATTTATAGGGGCAAAAAAGCAGAAAAATGAAGCCCTAACGTTACCAAAAAGAAATTAAAAGAATAATGCATTTGTAATACATTCGAAAATGTCGACATCTGGTTATGAAATATCCAGAACCTTTGGCGACGGGGGGCGATTTCACTTTCTTTTTTCTTAAGGTCAGTTTTGTAAAACATTTTTCTATATTTTTTAATACAATGACATTTTCAGTACGCAGTTTGAATATAACTTGCAGATAAAGTCGATCTTTATTTACTATAAAAAACATACGTCGTGTCTTAAATATTCATTTCTGAATATTTTTATTTGCAAAAGAAATTCAATTTTTCCTTAAATATGCGTGTAGGGTGATACGTAAGAGTTTACCTAGTCATATAAACTTCCTTTTGAAGTTCAAAATTTATTCTTGTCTTTAGGTGTCTTTAACATTTCATCTATCCCTCTTTGAAATGTTTAACTTGGAGAGCCCTGTAGTCCAGGGAGCGATTTGTCTTGACCGATACTGCCCTGTCGAAACAACTAGAACCTGGACACAAATTTTTTTGATCAAAATTGAACATCTATATGAATTTTTGAATTTCCTATCACTTTTTCATTTCATATAGCTGATCATTTGATCTGATTCCAAATTTAGGCGTTTATAAAATGCTATGCCGAATACTATCATTTTTGTCAAAGGAGATTCTGATCTATAGTTTATCCCCGTGAATATCTGCCAAACGATAATTTTCCCCATGGATTTAACTGCATAATATTTTGTCAATGTGAAATTCGATCCCCGATAGATAATAAATTCGTTCGAGATTTGTTCCCATAATATTTTGAGAGAGTGAGATTGCTTTCAGTGATAATTTATTAGTGTGGGATTCTGTTCTGCGATATTTTGTCTGTTTAAGATTCTATCTAGCAATTCTTGGACCAATTATCCAGCGACTTGTTTGGTTTTTGTAGTGTTTTTAGTTTTGAAGAAAATAAGCTTTGATTTCAATTGATTTCTCATTAAAACTAAAATTAATTTATATAATACTCTAATTAAACCACTATTACTTTATGACAGCGAATGCTGGCCTGTAATTAAGAGGGAGGAAAATAAACTACTAATATTTAAAAGAAAAATTCTCTAAGCCAGTGTTTCCCAAAGTGTGGTACGCGTACCCCCAGGGGTACGGGAACAGTTTAGCGGGGGTACGTGTTCTTATGCAAAATACCCTGCAACAAACGAAAATTTCAAAATTTTTTATTTAAAAATAAAACTAGTCATGAAAATGTATGATTATGTATTTTTCTATTGGCTATTTTTTTTGCAGAGTTAACAGTTAATAAATAGTGATATCAACAGCCAGTTGTGATTTTTAACTTTATTGCAATTTTTTATAGTAAAAAATACGTTCATTTTTTTATTGGTGGTACGCAGCGTTACGAAAAATTTAGAAAGGGTACACAAAAGTCTGAAGNATTCTCAGAGCCATCATCGGAGGTGTTAAAGAAATCGGTGTTTGGAGCATTCAGTACAATTATGAATTATACAGAAAGTTTAAGCAACCAAATATTATTTCAGTTATTAAATCCTATAGAATAAGAAGGCTGGGTCAAATCTATAGAAGGGATGATAGACCCAGTTAAGAAGCTGACTTTTGGAAAGTTTACAGGGAACCGAAAAAGAGGAATACCAAACACCAGATGTATTGATTCTGTGGAAAAAGATCTTAAAACCATGGGAATCTATAAATGGAGAAGCCTTGTGTCTGATTGAGCCAAATGGAGACGACTAGTTGGGACAGCTCTGGCCCGTACTAAGCTGTCATGCTGATGGTAGAAACTTTTTTTAATGGCAAAGTATTGTTATAAGAAACACCTGTTTTGTAAATGAAATATGTACTTAAAAGAACTCGTAAAAAACAAAAATGGCAGGAAAGATCAATTATAGCTAAAGTGTAATCTATCCTCTCGGCTTGAAGTTTAGAAAGAAAGCAAATTTGTAGAGGAATTCCGTATAATAATGAAATATTTTTAGTAAGAACTTATTTAGAGAATTGTAGTATCGATAATATCAGGTTTTACCACAAGCTTATTTAATTACATTTCAAGCTAAAGTGTATAAATGGAAAATGGGGCTGAGGTTAAATTTTTTTCTCTAACTGAAAAATAATTTTGCAAATAAACGCCTTAGAAGGATAGACTCAATGTGGCGTACGTTGGTTATTATTTTTCGATTCAGTTCAACAAAATTACGTATAAAATTAGTTATCGGTAAGTGTTTTTAAGGCAAACAACTTTAAGTTACAAGTGTGCTTTTTTTGCCTTTGCATTGAATAGGGAATCGGGAGGGGGAGGTTAAAAATTAAATAAATCTTGATTATAAGAGGATCTAAAGTTATAAATTTTTCTTCACTTAAATTTTCTTATTTTTTGTAGCCTCTATAATTTTCTTCCCGATTACCTAAGAACATTTAGGAAAACATTCTTCTTCTAAAAACATTCATTTTTATTGACACATTAATTATCTTTTCCTCTAAAAATTTATTAAATGTTTATACACAGAGATAATGAATTTAAAGCGATAATATTATGAATTACGAAGTAAAATTTAATAATACGTTCATTAAAGTTCTGGCAGTAAGTTCATTCTCACTAAAAAGAACTGGAACGTCGTGCCAGGGTTATTTCTTAGAAAAATTTCTTTTTTAAAAAAAAATTTTTTTAGTTTGAATTATTATTTAGAAAATATCATAGGCAGTGTTCGCTTTTTCTAATAATACTAACCAAATAGATTTTATCTAAGGAACTTACTTTGAGTATAAATTACCCTTACTTTGAGTATAAGTACAATGTCTTACCTCTCCAGAAAAAAAAAAAAAACATATCAACCATCGTGCCAAAAGACATTCACAAATATTGCTTCCATTATACTTTTTATTCTGAATAAACTGCCCAATAATTTTTTATTAGACTTCATTTCATAAAAATATTTAATAAAATTCAAATGAGAATGATTTCTTTATGACGACGATAGATTCACTAACGATGATAGATTATCGCATAATGATTCTGACCAGTCCACTTTTGTTGTTATTGTTTCTCCTTTTGCGGAATCATTTCACTGTCATCACTCAGATAATTAATCCTTATTATGTGTAAATTTATTTTTATTATTTTTTGAATAATGAATAATATAAAATATAAATAAAACAAATCCAGTTAAGTACTCTATCTTTAGAAAAACATGTTCATGGTCAGAATAGCCTCCGATTTACTAATTTGGTGGGCGCAAAACATTTTTAGATTGCCCTACATCAGGATACGGAAAAGATAGTGTATATCAGCATAAAATAAGATAATATTTTCGAAAATGAATATTGACTTAGAACAAAATTTCTTACCACGATCAAAAAATTTAAAAAGGGGGTTTTGAAAAATGTTTTAAAAAAAGAACAGGAAAAGGAGAGAGAGAAACATATTAATGAAAAAGACAAATCTGAAATTTAAAAAAAGGGTTTCAATATATGCGTATTTGTTGCACGTATCCTCTGACATATTGAGGCTCTGTGTCTTTATATAAATTTTCAAAAAAAAATTTATAAAAAACACATATGGTCATTTAAAATACTTCCATGGCCTGAAGTTCAAAAACTAGGGATAAAAAACTACCATTATGTATGAAACTGAGTTAAAAGCTTACTAATTAGAAAAACAAACATTATAAATTATTTTCATAGTTCAGTTTAAATTCAGATAAAGCAGGTATTGTTGTTTTTATTTAGACAGTTAGCTTTAATTCAAAATTATTTTTCAATTTCCAGTTTTAATAAAAAAACAAGAATTAATTAGCTTTAAACGTCAGTCAAAATGTCTCAATCCATGGCTCTGAATCCTAAATTCAATTCGAATGACGGGAAAAGGATGATAATCACCATATTAGAATTTTTGCTGCGTGAATCAAATATTTCAGGTAATTTGAGAAGATACTATCTGAAGAAATCAATCGATAGTTTGCAGAAGGTTTACGCCGTGAAACTAAATTATTATTCTTGCTTGCAGAATCTAAAGCCTTTGGAAGAAATTTATAGGACAGTCATGCACCCGATTCCCATCCAGCATCGTCTGTTTGCTGAAACCTGCAATAAAACGGGAAATTCCTTGATGGAAAATAAAAGATATAAAGAGGCTGAAGAAGAATATACAAAAGCTTTGCAGTTTTATCCTTCGAATCCCGTTTATTTTTGCAACCGAGCAGCTTCTAGCATAAAGCAAGGAGAAACCATGAATGCAGTGCTAGATTGTCAAAAAGCTTTGGCTTTGGATAACACGTACATGAAGGCATATGCCCGTCTTGGACAAGCTTATTTTTTCCGAGATCGGGTAGACAAAGCAATAAGATGCTTTCGAAAAGCTCTAAAATCAGAACCTGGCCATGACCAATATCAAAACGCATTAATGGCACTTATCCGCTACAGGAAAGGTGGCAAAGCGGGGATTTTAAATCCTCTTTTTAGATTCAGAAAAAGCCACACCCAGTTCGGTTATCTTAATTTTCAGTGCAATCGTTGCAAAGGTACTCACAGGGCAGTCTGCACAGAAGATGCTTTCAAAGAATTATGGATCTCAGAGCCACTTGATTAAATCAAATTTTTGATAACGCTGATGTATCTTTATTTTATTCTTTAATATATTTTAACTCCTTTAAAAAAATATTTCTCAGTAAAATCCTAGTATACGTTACTCTCCTGGCATGATTTTGAAGAATGTAGCCAACGCTGAAATGACGCGTTGACGCTTGCGGCAAAGAATTGGCGTAAGCAAAAAAATAGAAAATCGTAACTTGAAAATGGCAAATACATAAACGTGAAATGATAAAAGCATTGAAATAAAATTTTATCGCCCTCCCAAACATTACCAATGTCGTACAATCCACCGTGCAATGTATACTAGAATTGAGATAGAGAGAAATTTAATCGTCTTGTTATCTTATACAAATTTAACTTCGTACCTTCAAACTATGAATTTTTTACCTTCAAATTGAACAGGTCATCTGAATAATGGTAACTATCTAAAAGTATTAGGTTTGAATTTGTATTACATTGTCAGGTTAAGTCAGTTATACGTATTCCCACTTTTCAGTTAGTCGGGCGCAATTGAAAAGTCGCCAAAAAATTTAGAGCTTCACCATTTTTTTCCCTCTTCATTATTTTTTAAATACATTCAATTTAAATAATTAAAAAAAATAAGAACAAAAGTTGAATTTCGTTGTACCCGGTCAACCGAAAAATACCTTCGTTTCCTTACTCGATAACTTCCCTTAACTTTAACAGAGATACTATTCAAATGTAAATCAACTAAGATTGTTTGCATCAAACTTAATCTTGGCTAATGATTTGCTCAATGATGCTATATTTCAATGTTAACATTGCTGCAACTAAAACATTAACACGATCCGAAGATCCTCTGTGGGGTGTCCACTTCTTTTTATTCTCCTTTATATTTTGTTTTACTACCAAGAATAGTTTATTATAATGTTTAATTTCTTTACTTCGAATCAGTAATTCCATTCAAGTTTGGCACAGTCAAGCCACTTCCGGACTAAAATAAAATTAAGTTCTACCTTTAGTCAAAAGTATTACAATTTATCTTAAATCAAATGGAAATATAACATTTAACTGTCTTAAGAGTTGCCTTCAAACAGAAAACATTTTTGAATATTTTTTGTTTAATTTTATTCATTGACTGTTATTTAATTTTCCATTTTATGGCTGTATGCATTTTAAAATTTTTCCTCAATGTTCTAGTTTTAAATATACTCACAACTTGAAAGTTTGGTAGCTAGGTTCAATGGAGAGCATGTCGTTGAATAAAATTAAACAAAAATGCCGAGAAGTATTAATTTCTAACTCAAATAAGACTGATGTTCATATAATTCTCTTCAGGTTAAGATGGAAAAAATAGAAGCCATTTTCAATCTAAGGAGGAGTTTGTTGATATTTATTAGGACATATCACATACTAGCTCACACTCAATATCATTCATTGAAGAATTCCTTCAATTAATTTTTTTTTTAAATCAGTAAAAGTATCACACATTTAGAATATTTTTAAATGAAAAATAACATCCACAAATATTTTTCAAGAAAGGATATCGTAAAGAATGGTGAATTCTCAATTTCAATTTTCAAGTTTACGAAACGGAGATTACGAAGGAAAAAAAAACAAGAGAAGACAACAAAAAAAAATTAGTTCAAATTTGCGAAACTATTATATTTAAACTGAAGAAAAGATAAAACTGTATTTTGTTTGGTAAAAAAAGTTTAGGGGGGGGGAATGTTTCGAACATTAAAATTTTTTTAAAGTTTTTGTTCTACAATATAATGAATAAATGAGGTATTTTTCGCGATAAAAAAACTTGGAAAATTGTTAGTCCCTACACTTTTGATCAATAACAGTTCTAAGAAAAAATTCACTTTTCAGTCTGTAATAAGTGAGCTTTTATTTAAATAAATTGTTATTGTACTAATGTTTTGCAATCATTAATTCATTAAAATCATTCTACTTCCCAATAAACATCTTATTAAAACTGAACAATTTTGCTGCGAATTTTGTTACTCTTTTTCTTCAACCATTTTTCCGACCCTTCTCCCGTTCAACAGGTGTATTTTATGTCTCTTAGCACCCATATTCCAACTGACTGATTTAGTTTTTTATTTTATTTACTTTTGTAACATTCATTGGCAATGTTTTTCATCACTATTTTTTGTATTTTGTCGTACAGTGATGTACAGTCTTACTGAAGATGATGCTCCAATCGAAACTTGTATGATTCGTTATTTGTTTACTTGAGAAATTTAAACTTTATTGTACTCATCGGAGGAATTTTTATTCTTCGTAATATATATTACAATCATTGAAAATATTTCTTTTTAAAATATGTCATTTACAGATTAGAACAGTTAGAAACACGGTTTAAGCTCTAGTATATTCACCATCTGTCCTAAAAAATAAATAAACCTTTAGAGGAATTATTGCTGCCCTCTGACGTCATAGCTGAACGTGACTATTTCTTGTTATGCAGTCTTACTTCTTTGAAGCATTACTCCATTGAATTCGGCGTGATGGGTCAATAGGGAATTTAAACATCTTTAATTTCAAATAAAAAAATTAGAGCTTCGATGCATAGTGCACCCAAAAGCAGAACAACTGCCACAACTTGCAAACAAACTTTTCCCCATTGAAAACAAAAAACTATATTAAAAATGAGTCGAAAAATGAGGTGAAAAAAAAGTAAAAATCAATACAAATGAATCTTTTAAAGTAAGGCTACTATACTAATTCAGGGGCTCTATTTTAAAGGGAATTTAAACAACGTCAGGAAACCCACCATTGAGATCGCGAAATGCAGTTGAGAATTAAGTCAATAGTTTCCTTCGTGCCATGCTTTGATTAACCATGAGGTTAATAACATTTAAAAAATACTTCGAAATGAGCGACAAGCTTGCTTCTTAAAGCAGCAAATACTATAACCACAAATCCAATTCAATATTTTGAAGAATATTTTTACATCTCAAGTTTTGATTAAAACAGTTTCAAAATTATTTCTCAATATGACATTTTAAAAGAGCCAAAATACACCATTCATACGAGTCAATTAAGATGGCTCAGTGTAAGATGTGTAGGTCAAAACTAAAATCGGATGATGTGAAAATGTTGGTCATCGCCATCTCAAACTTTCTTCTGGACGAATCAAGCACTTCAGCAAAATCGAGAAAACAATGTCTAAACAAAGCAGTCGATTGCTTGGAAGATGTTTATTCCCTGCAGTTAAAAGATTATTTTCGTTTCAGAAACCTTCAGCCTTTGATAGAAACATACAAAACAGCCATGGATCCAATTCCCATAAAACATCGCCTACTTGCTGAAAGCTATAAGAAAGCAGGAAATTCTTTAATGAAAGATAAAAGCTACAAAGAAGCTGGAGAAGAATACACAAAAGCTTTATATTTTTATCCTTCAAACCCAGTTTACTTTTGCAATAGAGCAGCCTCTAACATAGAACAAGGAGAAACCACGAATGCAATGTCCGATTGCGAGAGAGCTTTGACTATGGATAAAACATACGCAAAAGCATATGCCCGTCTTGGACAAGCTTATTATCTACGTAAGCGCGCAGATAAAGCAGTCCGGTGTTTTAGAAAAGCTTTGGATTCAGAACCTGGCCATGATCGATATCAAAAAGCGTTAATGGCACTCATTCGCTACAAAAAAGCTGGCAAAGCCAGAATTTTGAATCAAATTCTCAGATTCGGGCGTAACATAGTACAATTGACTTCTCTTCCTTTTCAGCTTGATCATTGCGAAGGTTCACAGAGTGTTTCGGAAGATGATTTCGGAATTTTAACTGTTTCAGATGAACTAGATTAAATGTAATCTGCAATTCCGTTATTGTTTTATTCAAACTGATTGTTATTTATTTAGTTTTAGTAATTTTAATGTGATTGATTATTTTGGTTGATAATTCTGTTATCGAAAAAAAATGAGATTAATATTGCGCCGAGTGTGAGGTAAATAATTATTTATAAGTTAAAGAGGAACTCAATTGCGATCTTGCTACTTATCCGCTTCTTGAGACCACAAAAAAATCCCCCAAATAGTGTGGTGCTTAATTAGTTGAGGTAAGAAGTACCAACAATATTACGGGAATAAGTAATAGAGGCTTTAGTAATAGGTACCTAATGTACTGTAGATCAATATATAGTTATTGTAGCACTAAGATTTTAATTTATAACTAATTAATAAATTTTTTTACGTGAAATATAGCATGAGCAAGTTTGTGAAGGGCATATTTTTTATTGAGACAAAACTAATAGTGTTGGTACCTAGCAAAATATTTTGAAATATTGGAATATTTTGAAATAATTTTCATTGAACGCCTATGCTCTGTTTTTGTTGAATGGACAGCACATTCTTCAGTGTCTTTGAAAAAGGCACTTAGATTGGTTTGAGGTATATGGATATAATCTTGGAGCCTTATGTTCACTTACTCAGGGGTGCAGTTGGTTCCAATTTAATTTTTAGTAATGACAAAGCGTGGAGTGGAGTGGTCACAGAGGGCTCACTTGGTTGACGTTTTCTTGAAAAGTGAAAATACAATTCAGTGGATGCATTAGCCAGCTAGTTCACTATACCTCAACCTTATAGACATATCTGAGATGGTTTGGAATCAGCAATCTCCCAGTATATCTCACCCTCTATAAAATATCTAGAACCAAAGAACAGCGTCCTGTATGAAACCAAGTTGTAAGAACCTACGTCCTTTCCTTTTTTTTATAATAAAGTGTTGTACGTTGTAAAACCCGTAAAAAAAGTTCATACCTCTTATTAACCCTTTTTTTGTTGTTCGATTTCGTGCGGTTTTGTGGTGATTGCTGTTGTATTAATGCTATTGTTTGTTCCTCCTGACTCCAATAAGTACTAAGCCAGATCATGCGTGTGTATTATATTCTTTGGATGGTAGATTTACTCGCATTACACCAATCTATTTTTATACTCAGTACATTTATTAGTAGTTTTATTACTAGTACTGTTATGCTCAGTACTTTTAAGATAAATAAACCAAATCTGAAAAGGTTATAACTAATGTGTAAAAATCAGTTGTGAATCAGATTATCTATCTAAAGTATAGATTAACTTGTAGTTTCAAATTTCAAATTACCTAGGTCATCTGTAAACTACTAAGTTAATTTGCACATTACTCACTAGACACTTGTTAAATTGAAAATAAATAATTTTCTGGAACTATAGCAACGTTTCTGCGGGGTGGAATTAATATATTGCTATTTATTTTCCTTTTTCTGTCTAAAAATATCAAATTACAACAATCAAACAATCACATTAGTTGATACAATCAGTCAACAATCACTTCTTTCAAAACTATAATATAACGAATAAAATGGTTTAAAATATTAATACAATCAAGGAAATTTATTCTTCCATGATTTTTTTCTCCATTTATTTCTTTTTCAACCCAAAGAATCAAATCAATACAATTCAATCAAACAATCAACAAATTAGTTGACAGAATGAGAGAGACAAAGTTTTGAATTTTATAGATACATAAATCGTTAAGACGCATATCACCTTGGTTAACTGCGAAAAAATCTTGATTGCACCCTTTAACGAATTACCAGAGTTAATCTGCAAATAGGATAAGTAACGTGTACATTAACGGCTTTCGAGCTTCAGCAGTAACATAAACAACTAACAAGCTTGACCGTTGATAGCTGAAATCCAAGCTGAAAATTAAACTTGTATGCAAATTATTCGATATTTTATATTTATTGATATAATTACAATTTTAAAAACGTGAAATGCAACAAATGACAGCGAGCTTGTTTAATAAGGAATGAGGTTTAATTTTGATTCATTTATTTTATACTAACTGAATACCAGTTCTTTTTATGGAATGAAAATATTAGTTTTACCTGTTCCTCGTAACGAATACGTACATTTTCTACATTAATTTTGTTTAGTTTATAGCTTATTCTTTTCATTTCATTTAGTACCTATTACCAAAATTAGTTAAGCATTATTTTATTTTATATTTTACCATTGTCGTTGAACAGTCGACCCAATATTGAGTTTACGACTATCAAAATTCAACTCCGAAGCTTTGTAATTTTGATCCCAATCCAGAAAACAAGGGAACCCTGGATCAAATATTGAGAGAAATTTGCCCTCATGGAGGAATTTTTGATGAAACTAACCAGAATTTGCGTTACATGGTGAGGTTATATGAAAACCGTGAGAGTCTCCTATAGCAAGGGGACTCTAACAGTCTACTACTGAGGATATTTTATGTCAGCACTGTGGTCGGTGCGAGCCGGGAGCGGAATTCGCATCGACCAGTCATCACTGGGATTCGAACCCGGTTCACATCCTTGGTAGATGAGAGCTCTATCTCCTGAGCCATAACGGCTCAGTTACGCATCATTGACGACAGTAAAAAATTTTTAATTTTTAACACTCTCTTAAACGAATTAGTAACATGTCTCCATTAATTTTGCCTTTTAGTACATAGCTTATTATTTTACTTCAATGAATAACTATTAACAAAATTAATCACAGACGTCAATAATAGTATTGATTTTTTTTTCTTATTCTTAACGAATTAATTCCATTTCTTCATTAGTTTTGCTTTTCAGTACAGAACTTTCTTTTTTATTTCATGTGCGATTGATTTTAAATTATTTAGTCATATAGTAACTTTAAAAGCGTAACTATAAACAAAATTAACACATAGTTTCACATAACCTTAGAAATACTAATTGGGTTACTTAATGTACCCATTGCAATGCAAAAAGTCCATTTTTTAAATGGATCTGAATTAAAAATGTAATTAAAAATTCAAAAATTGGGCTTCTCCGAGTTCGTTTAGATTCATGCTGAATGTTGTCTTTTTAGAGTCCACGGTATACCCGCAAACCGGTATACAGACACACACACACAAAATTCTTTATTTTATGTTTAAAATACATTTAATTTTTTTTCTTTTTTTTTAAAAAAAATAACGTTTCACTTTTTTTTTCACTTGCAAAAATAATCTATTTTTACTTTCTAAAATAAAGTTAGTAAGATTATTCAATAATAATATTTTCTCAAAGGAACATTTAATTTGGTCAAAACAAAAGTTAGAAGATTACCTTATAGTTCTTCTATACATTTACACTTTTTATTAAATTTTTTTTTTACTCGCTTGGAGAAAAAAGTATACAAATACTAGTTAATGATTTTTCTCGGAGAAAATCCCAGACCTGTCGGACATGGATTTTTACCGTTATTTACCCATGTCTGAGTCAAGATGAAAATACAAGACGGAAATTTAATTTGTATGCAAATTCGAACACAAAGAAGATCAAATAAGATTAGCGGAATGACTACTCTCACCTTTGGCCGTTCGTAAACCGCTTTTCATCCTCCGACATAAATAAGGCTTAGCATTCCGTCAAAATCACTTTTTCAACCAATCGATGCAAAAAAGTTTTAGGCTATTTATGGAATTCAATTGAAAAATCTTTGATGCAGAATTTATGGAAACCATTACTTTTATTTATACTTATTGAAATTTGAGAGCTTAGAATATTAAAATATTTTTTTTTTATCAATATAAGTTTCAACAAAAAATTGGGAGACATGCGTGTTTTCTATGTGATTTTTTTTCGAAAAGTCTGTAAATAATTTATTTTATTTTTGTACTTTCAGATTTTCTTCACTTACCAAAGAATAAGTGACAGGAAAAATTGTTGAAAGCTTTTATTCTTCGGTATAAATTTTCGAAATAAACTTGTTCTTTACCCAAAAACTTGTAAATTTAAATTTGATTGAATTGGTTGATTGATTTCTTGATTTAAATTTGAAATTGTGTCTTAAATTTAAATTTGTCTAGGTTTAAAGAAAACGAATATTTATGACTTTTATCCTGACTATGTTCATTCTTTTTGTTCCAAAAATTAATTTTAATTAAAGAACTTTTATATTGTATTTTTTCTTTAGTGTTAATATAGATAATTTTCGCAAATTATGAAATACTAGTGGTTCAGGGGATTGAGCGCTTCTGCTAACGGTTCATACCGTTCACAATGTTAACGTAAAATATCCTTAGTTGTATACAGGTCATGAGTTAGAATCCCCCTGCCGTCGGTCTAGCCGAGTGTGATTTTCGTGGTTTTCTCCATGCAACGCAAATGCGGGTTAGTTCCATCAAAAAGTTCTCCATAAAGGCTGGCTTGCCCTAATGCTTGATCCAGAAGCTCCCCTGTCTTCTGGGTTGGATTTAAAATTACAAGGCTACAGAGTTGAATTGTTAGTCAAGCACTCAAAATTGGATCGGCTGTTCAAAGCCGATTATAAAATAAGCAGAAAAAACATCTCATTTCTGACTTTATTCAAACGAAAAAACTATCATAGTCATCATACCAAGTGGATATTTTTTTCCCCTTTACATACGGCTTAAACATTTGAAAAAGCATCGTGGCTTGACATTAGATCCTAATATATATTATTATAAATTATATTGCATTAATATATTATGGTAGAGAAAACTATTTTAAGCGAACGCAAAAAAGGAATCATTTATACTAACACTTTTTTTTCTTTTGCAGAAAAAAGAAAAACAACGTCGCTTTAAGAAGGGCGCGATGATACGCACAACATCAAAAGAATTTGAATTTTTGAAGTTCAGCAAAATTTTACAAGTAATTTCAGCACCGCAATACCAATAAGGTTTGGACAAATATGTTTTCTAAAGAGGTCATTTTGTAAAATGTCTGACAATATATGATCATCTTATCATAATATGTGATCATCGTATCATGATATTCGATCATCTTATCATAATATATGATCATCTTATCATATATTATTTT